ATTATATCATAACATTTATCACATAATATATTTCGTCATCAACATGTATTAATCATACATAACATTTATGTACATTTAGAGAACATATATAGCAAAACACCAACCATAATATATACTTTATATCATTAATAGCTAAATAGGAATTTCGTTCCCGATTCCAAAACAATTATGCTCTTGGGGAGAAAAACACATAATTCTGTCAGGACATGTTCACTAAGCGAACTACCAGCGACTTCCCGATTCGCTAAGCGAATCCTAAGCTCGCTAAGCGAAAGTTGCAACCATTAGAAAACTAGAGAATGCATCTCACCCAAATCCACGTAATCATTCTAACTAAGTTTCAGGTTATTAGGCCTTATATCACATGTATTAACAAGGGTGACAATCATGGGATGAGATTTATACAAGAGGTTGCTTTCTTATGACCATTCCTAGTCCCATTTATACTTATTCACTATTTAGGTCACTTAGTCTACAATGCCATATCCACCAAATGAATCCAAAGGCATGATATCTAGTTATATATAAGGATAATTAAAAGACCTTTCCAATACTTCAGACCATGCTCTATTTTGATTTGTAGAACTCAAGTAATGGTCCTTTTAGTGAAACACTAAATTGGTGCAGTCTGCAAACATTTGCTAAGCAAACACAGAGTTTGCTAAGCGAACCTGACAGTGCATAATACAAATTTTTGGATTTTAACATCCACTTTTCCATCTCTATCCATTCCAAAACGACCTACAACATATATCAAACACCCAAGGCATAAAAGAACATCATAATAACACATTTGCATTGTTAAATCAAGCATGCATCATATTGATCACAAACTAAACCCTTAGACATGCAATTTCATATAAACCTCAATTACTATCCAAGTTCTATCTAATGGAACTCACCTTGCAATAATAGAGGTTTGGATGATGTTCACACTGTATTAGAGTTCCATTCTTGATCAATGATTCACCTTCAAGTTCATAAAACTCGTAACACCCTTTTTCTCACTTCCAACAAGTAGTAACAATCTTCAAATGTGTTTTTGTCCTTCAATACAAAACTTATTAACATCAAATCATATATCAAAATGAGGGTGATTTTGTGTAGATTCTTGAACTTCAAGAATTTCTCAAATCAGAGTTATGAGTAAAAAGTTATGACTTGTTATGGTAAAGGCTTCCACCATAGTTGCGAAAATGGAAGTTGAAAGTGACATACTTCTATGAGAAATCTGATTTGCTAATGTTATCCACCAAACATGTCCTTAAAA